TCATTTGTCATTTTAATTTTTCTTTAGTTCCTTCATATTTTTAAAAATCCATAAAAAAGCCAATGTTTTCTAATAATTTTACTCACAAAGAATAAAAGAATTTTTGTAAAATTCTGTTATGCATCTTAATTCACATATTAATTCACAGAATTATGAAGTACCAACCATTTACAACATATTCCTTCCTTCAAAGGACAGATAAATAGACAATTATGATACAACGTGATATGTAAGAGTTGACATATGAAAAGCTGTGAGCATAATGAAGGCTTTACCAAAAAAGGAAAATAAACAGAAGAGGTCCTCAGGAAAAGAAATGGGAGTAAAACCATTCTACTTAGAGATTAGGATGTGAACACAAAGACTAGGCACATGGCATTTACATAGTGCCTGGAACCTGAAAGGAAAAGTATAAAATATTGGAAACAAGTAGTAAGAGATGAGTCAGGAAAGAAATTCTAATGAACCTTGAATGTTACACTAAAAAGCTAGAATTCACTGCCTAAAAGCAATGACTCTTAAACACAGAAGTAATCATTAGATTTGTGTTGTATTTTGGTTTTTATTTAAAATATAACAATGTTTAACTTAAATGAAGTTTTTAGCATAGCATTAAGGCACATATAATATCAAGGATGAAATCAGGGAAGTTATCTCAGCGGGAAAAACTTTACTTGTAAAATACCTATATGTCAGAGTGACGTCAACATCACAGCTGAGTACGATGTACCTGTTTTATCACAGCACCAACAATCTGGCATCCATCCATGGATAGAAGTGCCTTTGTGGGAACTGTGGAATCTAGCATCATAGGCCAAGGGACCTCAGAGGAGTCTCATCCACCTATGCCTCAGGCAACAGGCATTCAGGCTATTGTCCCAGCTGTGGACCTGCCAGAAGCCCATAAACTGACTCCAGCCCATAATTTCATCAGGGAGCCCTGGGAAACACTGTCTTAGATAATCACTCATGGATGAGAGCCTTTTTGGAAATCCAGTTTTCAAGCAAAGTTCAAGTCTACCAGTGCGGGAAAAAAAAAACTAAGTTTGAACACACTGGAGAAGGCAGTCATTAAAGACTAAAGGACAGCAATGCAAAACTTCAAAGAACATGAAAAATCAAGGAAATATGGAACCACCAGAGGATCACAATAATCTTCTAGTAACTGATTCCGAAGGCCTGGAGAGCTGTAATTTATCTGACAAAGAATTCAAAATAGCAGTGTTAAGGAAACTCAATGAGCTACAAAAAAGCACAAAAAGACAATTCAACAAAATCAGGAGAACAATAATGAGCAAAATGATAAGTTTAAGAAAGTGACAGAAATAATTAAAAAAAGACCCAAGCAAAAATTCTGAAGCTGAAGAATACAATAAATGAAAGGAAAAATGCAATAGAGAATAGAAAGCAGAATCAATCAAATAAAAAAAGAAGAAAAAATCTGTGAGTTTAAAGACAGGAACTTTGAAATTAATCCAGAGGAAAGCAGAGAAAAAAGGAATGCAAAGAGGTGAAGAAAGCCTATGTGAATTATGGGATACCATCAAAAGAAACAATCTGTGAAATATTGCAGTTCCAGAAGAAGAGAGGTTGAAGGAGGCAGAAAGTTTAAAGAAGTAATGGTTGAGAACTTCCTAAGCCTACAGAGAGATTTGGACATCCAAGTATCTGAAGCTCACAGGTCACCAAACAAACTCAACCTAAAGAGCTCTTCACAAAGACAAATCATAATGAAAGTGTCAAGAATCAAAGACAAAGAGAGGTTCTTAAAAGTGACAAGAAGAAAGATGCTTTTCACCTACAAGTAAACCCCTATAAGACTATTAGCCATTTTTCAGCAGAAACCTTATAGGCCAGGACAGAGAGAGTGGCATTACATATTCAAAGTTCTAAAAGAAAAAATTGCCAACCCAGAAAACTACCCCAGAGTTATCCTTCAGAAATCAATCAAATCAAATTTTAAAATTGCCATACCATGTTAATAAAATGAAAGATAAAAATCATAAGATCATCTTAATATGTGCAGAAAAAGCATTTGACAAAATTCAACATCCTTTCATGATAAAAACTCTCAACAAAAAGTAGGTATGCAAGGAATGTACCTGAACATAATGAAGGCCTATGACAAGCCACTAACTAACATCATACTCAGTGGGGAAAAACTGAAAGCTTTTCCTCTAAGACCAGGAACAAGACAAAGGTTCCCACTCTTCCTTTTCAACATAATACTACAAGTCCTAGCCAGAGCAATCAGTCAAGAAAAAGAAATAAAAGGCACCTAAATCATAAAGGAAGAAGTAAAACTGTTTGTATATGATGTGATCTTCTTTATAACAAAATCCTAAAGACACCATTAAAAATTGTTAAAAATAATCAATGAATTCACTAAAGTTGCAGGATACAAAATCAACATACAGAAATTAGTTGCAGTTCTGCACACTAACAACAAAGTATCTAAAAAATAGTAAATAAAATATTCTATTCACAAAAACATCAAAAAGAATAAAATACTTAGGAATAAAGTTAACCAAGTAGGTGAAAGATATATTATATACTGAAAACTAAAAAACTTTGATAAAAGAAATTGCAAAAGACTGAAACAAATGGGAAGACATCCCCCTGATCATGGATCAGAAAAATTAATATTGTTAAATGTTCATATTACTCAAAGCCATCTACAGATTCAATGCAATCACTACCAAAATGCCACCAGCATTTTTCACAGAAATGGAAAAAACAATGCTAAAGTATGTATGGAACCACAAAAGACCCCAAATGGTCAAGGCAATCTTGAGAAGGGAATATCTTGAGAAAGAAGGAAGTGTGATGCCTTCTGACTTCAAACTATATTACAAAGCTATAGGAATCAAAACAAAATGGTACTGGCAGAAAAGTAAACACAAAGAGCAATGGAACAGAACTGAGAACACAGAAATAAACCCATGCATATGGTCAATGAATATTTGACAAGAAAGCCAAGAATACTCAACTAAGGAAACACAGTCTCTAGTAGATGGTGCTAAGAAAATTGGATATTCACATACAAAAGAATGAAATTGGACCCCCATCTTACACTATTCACAAAAATTAACTCAAAATGGATTAATAAATTAATTGTTAAGATCTGAAACCATAAAACTCCTTCAAGAAACCACAAGTGAAAAAATCCTTGACATTGGTCTTGGCAGTGACTTTGGATGTGAAACCAAAACACAAGCAACAAAAGCAAAAATAAATAGAGCTACAAAAAACTAAATAGTTCCTACAGAGCAAAAGAAACAGGCAACAAAATGAAAAGGCAACCTACAGAATGGGGGAAAACATGTGCAAAGCACATCATCTGCTAAAGGGTTAATATCCAAAATAAATAAGAAACTCATACAACTTATTAGCAAAAAACAATCCAAGAAAAAATGGACAAAGCATCTTAATTGCCATTTTTCCAATGAAGACGTTCAAATGCTGAAAGGTACATGACAAGGTGCTTAATATCACAAATCATCAGGGAAATGCACATCAAAACCACAATGAGATATTCACTCACAACTGTTACATGGCTCCTGTCAAAGACAAGAGATAGCAAGTGTTCATAAAGACGTGGAAACCTCATGCAGTGTTGGTGGGAACAGAAATTAGCATAGCCACTGTGGAAAACAGTATGAAGGCTCTTCAAAAAATTAAAAGTAGACCACCATATGATCCAACAATATTACTTCTGGGCATATATCTGAAGGAAATGAAATCACTGCTGAGAGATATCTGCAATCCTGTTTGTTGCAGCACTATTTATAACAGCAAAGACATAGAAACAACCTAAGTGTCCATCAGTGGACCAACAGATTTTTTTTAATGTATATATTTACAATGGAAGGAAATCCTGCCATTTGTAACAACATGGGTGAACCTTGAGAGCATTATACTAATTGAAGTAAGTCAGAGAAAAACAAAACTGTATGATCTGATGTACATGTGGAATCCTAAAAGAACAAACTCAGAGAAACAGAGAACAAGTTGGTGATTGCTAGGAGGAAACGCAGTGAGTAAGTGATACCCTGAAAGCCATATGAAGAAAGCTTTTTGGAAGAAAGAGTTTTCACTGGGTCAAATATTCTTGAGTGTCATGCACTCGGAACAAAAAGAAAAAATCTGCTAACTAGCAATTTTGTTGGTAACAAAGTAAAATGCCAGTGTAACATCTAACTTCCTTCGTAACTCAGCAGATATTTAAAGTACTCTAACAAAATTTGCTTAAGACATAACAATGAGGCAAATGCTTTAAATATACTTTAGTTGTGAAACAATCAGTACACTAAATGTAACTTCACTTTATTAAGTATAAAATTTGTTAATCATGAATATTAGCTCAGATAATAGTTAATTTGTATACTGTATTACTTTGTATCCTTATTGGTGGGTATTTAGACTATCTCCTACTTTTTGAGATCACAATGCTATAATCAATATCCTTACATACATGTGCAGCATATTTATATAAATAGCCTTAACATAACTGTCATAATACACACACACATAACATATATATATAATGATCTGGTATATATTATATATATAATAATGTATAATATATGTTTTTAGAATGTATGTGTATGTTTGTGTGCATATGTGTGTTTACACAAGTCATGTTTTCTTGTAGGGTCTAGTCCTGGAAGTGAAGTGGTAGGGATCAGGAGATGACATATTTGAAATTTTGAAACACACTGCTAAACTTCTCCTCAGAAAGATTTTACCAATTTCATCTACCAACAGTGTAGGAGAATGCCTTGTCCTCAACATTTGCGTTATCTGGTTATTTTTATTATTTTTTAAAGATATTTATCATTATGGCTGCAAAAAGTAGTATGTTATTTGTGTTCTTCTGATTACCAGGCAAGGCTGATTATCTCCAGTAAAAGTATAAAATTTGTTAATCATGAGTATTAGCTCAGATTAGAATTCATTTTATAGGAAAGTAACAATTACCTAGTGTTAAATAGGCTTACCTATCAGAATCTTCACTCTGCATAAGAGGAAATTGCTGGTTATCAGTTTTGTCCCTTTTTCTTTGTTGAGTTACCCCATCAGCAGTAGCAGCAGCATATATGTTTCCTGATCCTCCTATGTCATTACTTTTGTGCTGCTGCTTTTCTTCTTCAACCTTTAAGGAAAGTTTGAGACTAAGGATGATTGTTATTACTTTATTCATTAAAAAGAAATTCTTTGTTTTCATTAACTTTATCATTTGACTCTGCCTGATCTTAACTGATACAAATATTTCTGTGCTTACTTTAATTTTATCATTACAGGTCACAGAAATGTTTGCAAACTCTGTTTCATTTCTGTTTGAATAAAAGCAGTAGAATTAGCCAACATTTCTTAATCTTGGGATCTTACTTACATCCATTCACTCTTGGCTATCTAACATTACCCCCTCACTTGGCCAGAGACAGAGACACAATAACAGACACAAAATTTATCCTCTTCTGTCTTTACCATTTAGAGGAAGTGTCCTTGTGGTGCTTCCATGACAAACAGGATGCACTCCTCCTTCTGCACTAAGCTACTCTTTCCCCAATGCCTTTTAAAATTTTAATTCATTTGGATTTCAGGGTATCGAGAAAGTGATGATGTGCACTAAAATGTGTAAACCAAAGTTCACCACACACAAGGAGCAGAGCAAAACTGACAAACCATAGAATTCTGGAAAATGAGCAATGCTCCTCAAATTTTATATCCAATAACCACAATGTTTTATAGCTAGAGGGTATAGAAGTAATTATCAACTTTAGCCCCTTCTCTACAAATAATGGAAGAAAACCAAGAAAGGTTAAATGATTTGTACAAAGCTCCTTAGTGGCACACTTTGCATTTTATGGCATCAAAAGAGGTAATATAATTCCTTAATACTGAATCAGATAAATTACCAGATAAACTCATCAAATTAATCAGATAATCTAAAAGTGTTACTTTGGCATGGTAATTTAATACCTTTGTTGGAGGTGATGGACATCTAGACAATTACGTAATTTCTCTTTTAAAGGAGGATATCTCTAGATCTTGACTATTTTAAAAACTCAATGCACCTCAAAACTCAATTTTCTCCTTTGGACTTAAACACTGAATTTTTTACTGAAGGTTTATGCTACCTATATAATAAAGGCATACACATCAAAACTTACCACACTTAAATAACAATATAAAGGTTTGACTCAACAGGAACATCTGAGAGTGGCGATAAAAAATGTGGAAGTATATATAATATTAGTTATTAGAAATATATCGAAGTGGACATGTTGGAATTCTAAATTCCGAGAGTTTGAGTAAATCAGATTAGATTACACATACTAAAGAACAATAAATAGATTGATTAGGTTCGCTGGGAATACTTGCTTATATTTCATTGCTTCCTTCCCATTTTATTGTTTATGGAAATGTCATCTCTATTTAAGCGAATAGATTTTTAAAAACCCAGAGCTTATTACATTTTTAAAGCAACTTCCTTTATGCTTACTCTGGTTCAGAAGTCACATGGTACACAGCTAAATTAGATTCCCAGTTCATATGCCACTTGGAAGACTCACAGACTTAGACTTAGGTTGATGAAGGGAAAAAAATTATAAGAATGTCTTCCTGACTCCTATTATTTAGATTGTGGAAATAATCTACTTCTAGACACAGCTTTTGTCATAGTGAAAAATCAGAAGGGATCACATAATTTACAAAGAGAAAAAACAGTAGCAACAATGAATGTCTATCTCTTTTTACAGTTGAACTTTCTTTTTACAAAGCCAGGCACTCTACTTGTAACATGCCTATCTCATTCTTAAACTTTTGCACATTTTGCTGCAATCCTTCATTTAGATATATTTCTGAGGTTCTGTCACTACACTGGAGAACTCACATTTTGTAATTTGGATTCCATGCTTTTATAGTTATTAGCATCTGCAATTATCTGCAAATAATGGCTTCTGGAACAAGTCTTCTATTGGTTTTGTTTCCTTATAAGTTTGTCTAACAGCAGAAATACCGTGCCTTTTTATTTGAATCACGTATTTCATCTCACTGGAGCATTCAATCCACAAATCAAAAAGGCTTTTTGTATCACTATGAGATACATGTTCAATGTCTAATTTCCAATTGGTGGTATTTTGACTCTTATTTTTTGTCATTTGCTTATCAAACTCTTGGTCTTCTTTCACTTCACATGTAACTACCCCTTACTTTATTTTCTGTATCATTATAAAAACTCTCCTAATTTTTGTTAAAAACATGTTCAGTGTCTGGTTTGTTACAATTTTCATAGTCTAATTTATTTTCGATTAAATAAAGCTTAGGAGATGACTGGCAAGTTCATTCCAGGGATCCAGAGTATGAATGAGATGGAAAGACATTTTCTTTCTGTTCAGGAAGTGCCTAGAATACTACAGAGACAGGCACTCCAAATGCATCTCTTTCATCATAATCAGGTTTACTATTTGTCAAAATAGGTATTTTCTTTACTTCTGCTTTAGCATTATCATGTAGTGGCTCTTCCTCAGGACAAGCTGCAATTTTGTATTTTTCACAAATTTCACCAAACTTCTGCCTTAACTCATCTGTGACAAGTTTTAAATTACCTTTCCACTCTGATTTTCCTTGTTTAATCCACATTTCCTCATGCTTTTGCATACAAGGAAGTCCTGAATACACACATAAATCCTGTCTATCACATTCCTCATTCACTTCTGCTTCTTTACATTTTTTTGCAAATGCAAAGGTGGAAAATTAATTTGCTTGATTTGATTTTATGCTATCTTTTCTGCCAGAGTACATGTTTGTAAAATAACTTTATCCTTAATGAAGTATGGACAAAGAAGAATTAGAAAATAAAATTTAACTGTTAGATTTCTTAATCTATGTTTAGCTACTCCCAAATCACTGGATTATAACTAAGAAATGAAAAATAACTTGTCTTAGCCTAAATTAAAAGGAACCCCCCACAAATCTAATTTTGTCACTATTGGAACTGAACAATTTATTATGTTAACTCTACCAAAAATGAGTTAGGAGATGATTTTATTTTTACTGTTACAAAGGTTTCCTCACTTAATATTATTTCACCTCACTATATCTTAAATAGAAAATCCCTATAGTGCACTTAAGGATTCTTTTTGAAGATTAATAGAGAATAGGTAAACTTTAAATTATAAGAAGTCAATTATCAATTAACATCAGAAAGAAAAGCAAATTCCTAAATTTTAATTCAAATTATATATAGTGATAGTGTATACATGGATATTGATTATCTGCTTGCACCCAGTTCTAATATATTCTAATATCCCCTGATGAGTGAATAACAAAATCTTAACTGATTTCCAAAACTGAAATGAAATAAATTAGAAAGTTATTGATTGTAACCTAACAACAAACGTCCCATCCTGGAAGGTGTGACTCTCTTAATAGGCAGTTGGGTTGATTTTATGACCCCATTCTCTCCCTGAATGTAGTTTCTGAAGTCAATTATAGATCACAAGGCAGAATAAATCTTTATCTTAGCATTTAGTGATTGGCAAAATGAAACTGCAAATTATTATTCTTTTTATATGAATCCAACACAGTGGCTATCATTGTTACACTGTTCATAATTTCAACTGCTTAGTCATATGATTTGATATTTGAATGTTAACTTCTTTATCATGTGAAGATGTTATAAAAATAGAGAAACAAACAATATTCAGAAAATTCTGTTTACCTTAATTCTAAGGATAAAGTTAGCTATAAGCTATAACACTTTCTAACAATATTTTAAGTTTGTGACATTTTATAAAGAATTATTATTGAGTGATCATCTATTGACTCTGAAAGGCTAGTTCAAAAGGTAATTTCATTTGTACTATGTTACAATATTAAAGCATAGTAAACATTATTAAACCAGAAACTTAAATTATAATTTTTACATACCTGTGGGTGATTATAATCACTTCCATCAAGCCTTTCTTGTTCTTCCTCTGATATCATTTGTAAGTCTACTTCTGCTGACAAATCTATATGTTTAGTTAAAATGAACTACTTAGAATGGTTAGATAAAAGCCATAATCTTTAAAAACACAGAAAATAATATTTTTATCAATCGAGAGTTTAAGTTAAGCTTTATCTTTAGCTGAATATTTACTTCTTTAGGTAATACTTCCAAATTATCTATAAATTCAACAAACATTTGGGAAATACTAGGTATCACCTGCTTCACGGATCTGCCAAACTTGTGAGGAAACAGAGCAAGCAGGTCAGTTGTACAGGTAACTAACTGGACTAACTACAGCTCACAGTCACTACTCTAGGATATAGCTGAAAATATTTTGTAAGTACAATGTTAATTCTAACAATAAGAAAGAAAAGATAAAACTATAGGGGTGGAAAAAATAGTGTATGCTTTATTACTACAGACCTGAGCATATAACTGATTAGGGGATTGAATTAACTGGTACATAAAGTAGAAAACACATTACATGTAGTTGTTCAACAGACTAGGTATCCTAAGAGAATTAAAATTGTTTTCTATATATTATTAGAAAATCCCTATAGTGCACTTAAGGATTCTTTTTGAAGATTAATAGAGAATAGGTAAACTTTAAATTATAAGAAGTCAATTATCAATTAACATCAGAAAGAAAAGCAAATTCCTAAATTTTAATTCAAATTATATATAGTGATAGTGTATACATGGATATTGATTATCTGCTTGCACCCAGTTCTAATATATTCTAATATCCCCTGATGAGTGAATAACAAAATCTTAACTGATTTCCAAAACTGAAATGAAATAAATTAGAAAGTTATTGATTGTAACCTAACAACAAACGTCCCATCCTGGAAGGTGTGACTCTCTTAATAGGCAGTTGGGTTGATTTTATGACCCCATTCTCTCCCTGAATGTAGTTTCTGAAGTCAATTATAGATCACAAGGCAGAATAAATCTTTATCTTAGCATTTAGTGATTGGCAAAATGAAACTGCAAATTATTATTCTTTTTATATGAATCCAACACAGTGGCTATCATTGTTACACTGTTCATAATTTCAACTGCTTAGTCATATGATTTGATATTTGAATGTTAACTTCTTTATCATGTGAAGATGTTATAAAAATAGAGAAACAAACAATATTCAGAAAATTCTGTTTACCTTAATTCTAAGGATAAAGTTAGCTATAAGCTATAACACTTTCTAACAATATTTTAAGTTTGTGACATTTTATAAAGAATTATTATTGAGTGATCATCTATTGACTCTGAAAGGCTAGTTCAAAAGGTAATTTCATTTGTACTATGTTACAATATTAAAGCATAGTAAACATTATTAAACCAGAAACTTAAATTATAATTTTTACATACCTGTGGGTGATTATAATCACTTCCATCAAGCCTTTCTTGTTCTTCCTCTGATATCATTTGTAAGTCTACTTCTGCTGACAAATCTATATGTTTAGTTAAAATGAACTACTTAGAATGGTTAGATAAAAGCCATAATCTTTAAAAACACAGAAAATAATATTTTTATCAATCGAGAGTTTAAGTTAAGCTTTATCTTTAGCTGAATATTTACTTCTTTAGGTAATACTTCCAAATTATCTATAAATTCAACAAACATTTGGGAAATACTAGGTATCACCTGCTTCACGGATCTGCCAAACTTGTGAGGAAACAGAGCAAGCAGGTCAGTTGTACAGGTAACTAACTGGACTAACTACAGCTCACAGTCACTACTCTAGGATATAGCTGAAAATATTTTGTAAGTACAATGTTAATTCTAACAATAAGAAAGAAAAGATAAAACTATAGGGGTGGAAAAAATAGTGTATGCTTTATTACTACAGACCTGAGCATATAACTGATTAGGGGATTGAATTAACTGGTACATAAAGTAGAAAACACATTACATGTAGTTGTTCAACAGACTAGGTATCCTAAGAGAATTAAAATTGTTTTCTATATATTAGTTTTAAATGATACAATGCTCCTTAAAGCCAACATTCCTTGTGAACTATTTATTCATTAAAATATTATAAAACAAGTTGACAGACTGTGTACATAACTGGTAGTAGTAAATTCTCGATAATTCCCATTCGTCCTGGGAAAGCCAATTCTAAATTATATAGACATGGAAAATACAAGGAATATTTTAATTTTTGGTTTTGGAGGGTACTCTTTTAGTTACACCAAATATAGTTATAACTAGTAATTTTGAATTCAGAGCTATAAAAATAAAGCTAAGAAACTACATTTTGTTTGAGTAGGCAATCTTCAATCTTTAAATATTTACCTAGTTTCCCAAATAGTCCCCAAACTCTAAATACAATTTTACTACCCACTCAAGTATATTCTGAATACCAGCCTAAAATAAATTCCTCCTTCTAATTCTTTGTTGCTTATATATTGCTCTGTTTAGAGAAAGAATGCAAATATCTTGCTAAAAGGTATTCTGTTTGGCTGTACGTTGCATAGAGTAAACACAAAGATTTTACCACAAAATGATGTTTGAAAAGTCAAAACTATGGTGAAGCCCTGGAGAAGTAATCCAGGGTTGAATTCTCTATGCTTCACTACTTTCTTTGCTCTCTCTCTTTTCTGAAAGCTGTGATTCACACAGGTCACAGAGCGTATAATTCCCTAACAGAAACACAGCTCCAATATTAATCTTTTCTTTATCTATTAAGGTCATCTGTCCAAATTCTGTGGATGCTGTCTGATTTCTGGTGATTGATTGTGACACAAATATACATTTATCATCAATTTTCAAATCTCTGGATCTCTGACAAGTCTCAAAACTGAAACTAGTAGAATCCCAACCTGCAAACTCTGAAAACAAAGTTTCCATTTATTAGAATGTAAATAATAATACAAATTTGACTAACTTGTAGTTGTCTTTATCAGAGAATCCTCCTCTCCCCACCAAACACACTACTCCTTCACAGCTCATTGTATTTTACATGGCCTATACAGCCATTCGTATAGATAAGTTTAACTATAGTCTCTCATTTTTTCTATTTTCTTGTATTACTTACTCTGATTTGCTCATCAATGTCTATTACATATTCTGTATTCCATAGAGCTTTGTTTATTAGTAATTAAGATTCATGAAGGTATGAATTATTTTGTTATTAATGAAGTTTATGGGTAACCACTTATTTTACACTTAAATATGTATGATGGTATGATGTGTTGTAGAGACATGGGTTTCCAAAAAAATTCAATGAGTGGTACTACCTTAACTACACTGATGCACAAATATCTTCAGAATTCATTTGTTATGATATTTGATAAATATCATAAATTATGTGAGAAAAGACAGCCTTAAGTGACCTTAATTTTCTAGGTCCAAAGAGTATAGAGTGCCATGAGAAAGGAAATGAATACTAACAAAAATATTTCCCTTTTTTAAAAAAAACAAATTGACAGATTTAAACTTTTTAAAATAAGTGAGAGAAAAAGCAAGGAATCTTTGAAGCCCTTTCATCACAAAGGACAGTTTATCATTTCATCCATGAGCCCTGCATCGTTTAAAGTGGTGGTTCTCAAGTATCACCTGGGAATCCCTAGAGTTCTAAGATCCACCTGCACATGGGGTCAGAGAGGTCAAAACTATTTTCATCATAATACTAAATGCTACTTGCCATTTTCACTCTCATTCTCTTACAAGTATACTGTGGAATGTTTCAGAGATAAGATATGTGTAACATCATAGCACTAATGGCTAATGGGATATATGATTGGGTACACATGTATTTAAAATTTTTTAGTTTTAATTTCTAATTATCTATAATATCATGAGTATCAATAAATATAACCCATCTAACTAAAAGTTCCTTAGAATCACTGTTTTAAAAATCTACTAAATATTCATGAGAGTGTAATTAAATATTTTGCCCATTTTTTTTTTGAGAGGGCATCTCTCATATTTATCGATCAAATGGTTGTTAACAACAATAAAATTC